TACGCACTCTCTCTCTCTCTCTCTCTCTCTCTCTCTCTCTCTCTCTCTCTCTCTCTCTCTCTCTCTCTCTCTTAATGGTTTTTAGGCCTGGTCCTATTGACTCTTTCACCACAGCTTTATGATATGTGGAAGTATATACGCAATGTTCCTCTGCATCCGCTAATCCGATCCGTCCCTCACGGATACGATTTGGTAATCCGATTAGCCTAGGGAACTTTCTCTCTAGACAATTTACATCACTGCGATTAATCCGATTGAAAATCTGATTGCTACACGTAAACACCCAATATTGAAGTGATGAATAATCTTTCTCATAGAGACTTCAATCCTTTATTGGAAAGATGTTTTCTTATTGGATATCATACGTTCGTATGTCGGATGTCGGACACTATGTGACACTAACAGCATGTTCGACTGGCTATTGGTTAACCCATTCTGGTTATTCAGCCTACGTTTATTGGTCGAACAAATACTTCTAAGCTTTATGATTGACTAGTAGAGACTTATGACGTTATTAATCGCTCTCGGAGGAATTAACCCAGGGCCAGTCGAACACGCTATATGTCTGTTTAAAAGTCGTTCTACATTAGTTGCAAATCGTAAGGTCGCAAGAAAATTGACCAATCACAGTCAATCGTTCTCCTTGCGATCGAAGAAAAGTTTACTGTGATTGGTCAATTTTCCTGCGACCTTGAGATTTATAACTAATGTAAAATCGACCTTATGCAGGATTCACACCGCGTCCAACGTCCGACATACGATGTCCAATATCCAATAAAAGAATAGCTTTCTAATGCAGAATTAAATTCCCTATTAGAAAGCTGTTCTTCTATTGGATATCGGAGATCATACGTCGGACGTCGGACGCGGTGTAAATCTTACATTACAATACGTCGGAATAGGATAAATCCTTTATTAGACATGTTTCTATAATATTGTTATTGTAGATACTTATATATATCGGGTGCTTTCCAATTGCTTAACACATCTTGACACATATGTACACAGAAATGCACAAAGTGTAACGTTGTGCACAATTCAATTAGAACAAAGTGTGTACTAATGTATATGTATGTCGGGTAGGATTAGGATTATTTTCCAACTATGTTTATATTTTGGTATTTTTTAATAATAAATAAAATCTAAATAATAAAAAAGATATCCATTTTACGTCACAAATTCCAGTCTCTTTTCAAGCCGCTACATTTATTAACTTAAATTTTCACTAGAAAACACTAGTTTACACAGCCGACTAGTAGCCCTCGAGCTGAATACGTATGTGTAGTGTTGTGGCGACGATTACAACAATTGGAATACAACTTATGTCGCCGTGTGCATGAAAATGTCTAGGTATATTGCAATTGGAAAGCACCCATCGTTGTCGGCATTCCAGTACTTTGCTTTATCTAGTGAATTACTAGAACAAACTAGATCTAACTAATCATTACATTTCGTATCCGATGAGACTGTGTACAATTGGGTTTCACCCACATAGGACGTGTCAATTTTATAAAAGTTGGCTAGAAACTACCTCGATAGCCAATTAACATTTTTCCAAAAAAGTAGAAGTTTATTATAGAAAACCACATTGATTGGCTATCGCCGTATTGTGTAACCAATTTACGACGCATGATAAGCGTTGCTGTGTTTTATGTGCAAGAGACATTATTCTGGAAGTCGATATCTCAAAACGCAATAAAAATTATTGGGAGCGGTGCACTTGAACACGGTGCATTTGGACACAGTCAATCACAGCACCGTGTGATTAGAGACATTTGTAGGGTCCATTGGAACAGCGACTTGTGATTGGACTGTGTCCAATTGCTCGTGTCCAACTGATATACACCCCTTTAACCCTAGGGTCTCGCATTGGCCTCCGTCGAGGATGGACGTGTGACAAGTGTGCTCCGCATAAGGCGTTTCGTTTGACAGTTTGGAATGCGTTTGGGAGTGCAATGTAGCGTAATTTTTGTGTCGAGAGTATTCACATAGGTGCTTTGCACGTGTGGATGCAAGAACTGTTTAATTAGAGATAGTAATTAGCTGATTACCTAACAATAATCAGTGAGTGAAAGTGTGGCGTAACACAGCGGCCCTGCGTTTCCGCGCGCTGGGCGCTACAAACACGGCGGTTGGTACAATCCGCGTAGGAAATGCACAGTCCGTACATTAACTCGGGCATGGTCGCGGTTATGGTCCGCATAGAAATCGCGGACTCCGACCTGATCGTTGTTCTATCGTTGCAGAAAAGCTCTGTTACGATTAGATAAAGAACTCATCGTTATACTATTATAGTCCTTTCTAAGGGATGACAATGGATACGGAAGCTTCTTCGGAGCATAATGACGAGGATAACGGCGAAAGTAATTCGTTTGATGTTCCGTCAATTTTAGATGAGAGTCGTGTTGAGTATCCGAGATGTCTGCAGGAAGCAACACTCCCGGAGGAAAATACGACGGAAAAAGCCGAACTATTGACGGACGGCGCTTT